GTCGGTGGTTCCTGTGTACTGTGCTGACGATAAGGTTTGGCAGGGAAGGCTTCTGTAGGTCCCTGTGCAGGGCAGGTGGGTGGGGGGGCGCCCCTCTGAACGCGGCTGGGAGTGGAGAGGGACAGTTGGCTGGAGTCGGGGTCGTTGCTGTGCTTTTGGGGCACGCTCGTTTCTCTGAACGTCTGACAAGGAATCTGTGTTCTTTACACTTTTCTGTTTAATGTCCCTATCCTTTCACACTTTCAATAGCACTTGAATTTTGCTTGATACATATGTTCAAATTAATACCAAAACAATAGCCCCATTATTTCCTTAATGCCATAAATACCAGATACGTGGAACAAAAGTAGGTAATTTGTACCCTGACCATATTTCCAATGTATATAATGAGGCAGCAAAGCCATTTAGGTTTAATGAAACTTGGGAAAGATCTTTCAGCCTTTGTCCTGGAGACAACACGCGCATATTCGTGACTTGACAAGCTTCAACTGCAGGGCATGTTTAGCAGCTGCTAATAAACATATGGCACAGTGCCACTGTTAAGTGCGAGGAGGAAATTGTAGGTGTTGAGACAGTAAAGCAGTGGAAATTTCTATAGGTCTGTTGGATATTATACTCGTGAAGAAATGAGTGATGATTTCAGTTTATTTTGGGGATATGTTTAATTTGGAATGCCAAAATATCTCACAAGTGGTTGCAGCTGCTGTAATTCAAGGGTATTAAGCTGTCAGTTGGTGCTTCTTTCTAAGACAAAACTTGACTCTCTTTCTATTCTGGTTTTTGAAACAATCTGTCTCCACCTTAAAGTTTAAAGAAAGATATAATCATCTTTAAACTACCTTCATTTTCTTAATAAACGGGCTGTTGTTACAAAAAAAGTTTAAGAAATAGACACTGGGAAATCACTGAAAAATATTTTAATTCTGTTCTGAACTTAGATCTATAAGATGTAGTTGTTTTTTTTTTTTTTTTCTTTTGGCTGCTGGATGTTCTTCCCCTAAAAGCAGCTTCCTAAAATGTTTTCTCTCTGGACATAATTTGAAGCTGAGCTTTGGAGATACTGCCAGAAAACCTTTCTCCAGTCTAACAGGCATGTTGGTTTAGAGCAGAAGCTCTCCAAGAGGAGGAGGGCCCTTGATGTGTTATTTTTTCCATGTGAACTATAATTGTTTGTTTTATGTGAGAGGTGATGAATAGAAGTCGTGCTTGCTTCAAATGTAAGAGTTACACTATAGTGTTCTAACTTAACTTCTTGATTTACTCTTAGCAGAGAAAAATGTTGAGGAAGTTGGTCCTTCCAAGTAAGGACTATCATTTACTTGGGTTTTATGTGGTTCTTTTACCAGACCTTGAACTACCTGATTGAATATTAGGCACTTAATGGAATCGCCTTAAATTGTTGAGTCTTCTGTGAGTGATGCAGTGGCATGTAAAATGGCAGGGCAGTGTCACGTGTGCAGCTGATAGGACCATATTTTGAGGTAATTTCCTTCTATAGCTGCACATGCTTAAGTTTCTGAGAACTCACTGTTAGAGGATCAATTTTTCAGGATAAGAACTAATTTGGGGGCATAGAGAGCTGCTGTAAAGTGTGGTAGTGGGGAAGGCCAAAAAAGGGTGGCATAACTACTTCTCATATACATACAACTGAGACAGAATCCATGGTTAGATCATTTTGGTTTTGGTTTGTTTTCCCCCCCGGTCACCATTCTTGCTTCCAGGAGACAGCATATGCTGGTGGTATAGGAGGAGAAAGAAAAGCAAGTTTCTAGTAGCAGGTTTTGATCATCTGTTTCTGCTCCTGTTAGCTTTTAGGCAAGTTTAATTAGTGAGTTATACATATGAAATAGTGATTTGTCTTTGGGTGTATTCAGATCAGTCTAATTGAATCTGAGCAGTTTCTGTTCCATTAGGCCGCTGCCGCTTCTCACCTGCGGAGAGAAGCTTTTCAGACTTAGAATGCTGTAGATCCCACAAATAAAACTGAAGCAGTCCTGATTTTTTTTTTTTTTTCTAGATTTCCTGTCACTTTTTATAAAAAGATAAGGTAGCTTGATGTGGAGAACTTAAGCAATAGGAATACTTGGTCTGAATTCTGAAAATATAATTGACATCTAAGTAAATGCCATTAGTTCGTGGTTCTCATTAGAAAAAAAGTACCCGTATGATGATGTGCCATGAGCAAAAATCAGGAACAGAAGCTTGAAAATAGACTTAAAAAATTTCCTGTAATTATTTTCTGCATCTTACATCTTGTTGAACTGTATTGTACTCTTTCCATACAGGGGGGAGATGTTTAAAACTCCCCAAGGGATATTATGAATTTAAAAGTTTATTTTTCTCATAGTCAAAGTTAATTCTACTTGTCACACTTGGTGCATGTAGGCCTGATAACTGTTCGGATGACAGGGCTTTAATTCCGTTGGAGGTGTGGCTTTAGGGTTAGCTGCTTCCATACCAGCAGTTAAACAATTATTTCCAATACTACAGTTAGTTTTAAACAGCTTTATGAACCAATTTCTTTGAAGCTGTAGTATTGATGTTTCCCCCAACGCCCCCCTCTATGTAGCTTGGACATCAGTTGTACAGTATGTCTTTTTTTTTTTTTTACTCGACCTTCTGGTCTTCTCATAATGAAGACTTCAGTCTTGTGTTTCTGTAGCACATTCATGATCCACAGCTCCTTTTTACCATGATGGTAAAAAAACAAATACGTTGTAAATCTTGATTATGTTTTTATCGGCTTGGCTGGATACGTACACATGCTCAGTTAAAATGTCCTCGATCTCCATTCTTTAATCAGACATTTGTAAAAAGAAAATAACTGCTGCAGGTTATTTTTAAACTTTGTGTGGTGTTTAACAAGTTCTCAGAGAATGAAATTGTCAGCTATCATAGCATCTACCTAACATTTACTGTGTGAGAGGCAAGTCACTGATGATTGACTCTGAGGAGAGTGACAGCAGTTCAGGGTATGATAATTTTCATCTTAATCTGATCCAGAGTCGGCGTAACTGGGGTTCTGATGCCGCGCAGTGCTCTGTTGCCAGAGTGGCAGGAAGCTGGTCCAGATCCGAAATCCATGGAGAGCTAAGGAACGAAAGGCTTCGCTGTCACACAGCTGGGACATGCTTCCTGTTTCAGAGCTCTCATCTGAGGGAGTACTTGGGTATATCAGAGAGCACACAGGAAAAATTAAGCCAAGGTTGGGCAAAGATCTGTTGCTTGTTTTCATGTCAAAGCTTAATTGCATTTAGTTCTACCTTGTCTTCTCACTAGAGTGTTTTTCTGTCAAGAGTAGAGATTTAGAAGCAGCTTGAATGTGACAGCAAACTGAAATTTCTCTGCAGGGGATGCTGAAATGCTACAGTTTCTATTTTGGTTACGCTGGGCATTATTTGCAGCTTGTAGAAGTAAATAACATTTCAGAGGATGTCATTACAGTCTTGGTTGTCATCCCAGTGATCCACACTGGATTATAACTTGAATTGAATACTCATTTAATGCACTCATTCCTCTGTGGTAAAAAGTGACTTTTCTTTCTTTTTTAAATAGCCAGCTTCTGCAATAGTCCCAAATTAAGGGTAGTATTACTCTGCAGTGCATTTTAGCCTCAGAATAGACTATGGGCTCATGACAGCATAAAGTTTACCTTGTTAATGCTGATTTTGAGCTGTCATGTTGAGACATTGGAGCTTTAGTGATACCTCTAGCCTCCAGATCTGATCTTTTTTTTTTTTTTTTTTTTCAGGAAGTGAGAGGAGAAAATGATATAATTTGCAAAATCTGATCTTCTCTCATCCTAAACCATCCTGGAGCCATCTGGTTTTGAACTGTCTTTATTTGCTAGGGGAAAAGAGAGTCTTAGCCATCCAGTAAAAAACAGGCAGTCATTGGTGCTGCTCTTGATGGCAGCACATGTCAAGCAATTGCAAATATGTCTGTCTGTTTTCTGCTTTTTCCTTCTAACTGCTGCTTTGTAGCAGCTCTGAATCATTGTTGTCCAAACAGCAGTTACAGTTTACTAAATGCTTTAAAATCCCGTTCAGATCTCTTGTTATATATCAGCCTCTCGCTATCTGAGCTAATCTTCAATAACTGATTTCTTGCTATTGGATTGTCTGGTACAACTTCTGGCAAAATTTTCAAGCTGTGTTTGAGACCACTTCTTAAAAAGGTTGTAGAGAGACAAGTATGTATTGTCTGTGTAAGTATGTACCAGTTAAAGGTGCTGCTACTGGAAAGTTTCAGGGAAGCTTGATTCAAGAAAGTCTTTGTTAAATAAAACTGAAACTGCCGTTGCATAGTTTGGTCACCTGCAATATTCTCACCACTTGTCATGTAATAACAGCTATTTAATCCTAAACCTGCCACAATTAGAAAATAAATAAAATGCCTATTTTGTAGAACTGCTTAAGAATGTTATCTGCTGTTATAACTACTTCAGTAATATGTTTCCTTTAAAATGTACAAGACAGACTGAGAGCTACAGAACTCTTCTTTACATATTAACCGGAGTATAAGAAGATGTTGAACTGATTATCAGGGTTCTGCTTAGCTGTTTAAGTGGAGATTTTTGGGGAAGAATGAGGGGCTGGATATGTGAGAACCATCTAGTTAAATCTTCAGAGAGACCCATGAATGTTTAACATATATGGGTTAAGAAAAACAGGTCCTTCACACTTAACTAAGTCTTTCTTACTTTTGGCTGAAGTTACACTTCCTTTGTCCTCAAGGCAGTTCTTCTAGTTCTGTTTTTCTTTCAGATTTGGGAGCAGAGGGTGCAGAATGAGATTGTGATTCTTAATTTTTAGATTTTTTTTTTTTTAATTAATATATTCCTGCCTGCCTTTATGACCAATGACAGACCTTTTTTTTTTTTAAATAATTCGACTAGTACTGTCGTCTTGTTTATTTTCATAGGCTTATTATAGTGTTGGAGGACTAAGGAGTGTGTTCATTAAAACTAATTATGGTTGTGGTTTTTTTTTTATTTGCAGGAGTCAGAGTTACCGTCAGAACTGAATAATGAAGGATACTGTGATTTTAACAGCAGGCCAAATGAGAACTCTTACTGCTATCAGCTCCTGCAGGAGCTCAACGAGCAGAGGAAGAAAGGCATTCTTTGTGACGTTAACATTGTGGTGAGTGGGAGGGTCTTCAGAGCTCACAAGAACATCCTGGTTGCAGGCAGCCGCTTCTTTAAGACTCTGTATTGCTTTACAAACAAAGAGAGCAGGAACCAAACCACTGTTACCTATTTAGACGTTGTTGCTGTTCAAGGTTTTTCTGTCATCTTGGACTTCTTGTATTCTGGTAACCTCGTGCTTACGAGCCAAAATGCCATTGAAGTGATGTCGGTGGCCAGCTACCTTCAGATGACGGAGGTTGTCCAGTCCTGCCGCAACTTCATTAAAGATGCCTTAAACATAAGTATAAAATCAGAAGCTCCAGAGACCGTTGTCGTGGATTACAACAGAAGATCTGTCAGTAGGGATGGTTTGTCTCCAAGGGATCAGAAAGTTGCCAGCTTCTGGGCAACACGAAACCTTACCAACTTGGCAAGCAGCATAAAAACTGAGAACGACGGATACTCGATTGATGAGGGCCAAATGGAAAGCTACCAAATGAACGACTGCAGTTGGGTCCAGGACAGCTCACCTGAAATGGCTGAAAATGAATCTCAAGGTGAGGGAAAAGTTTTTGTATGGAATGACATGGGCACACAGGGACAATCAGTTCAAGAACCTGGCAAAGCGAGAAGGAAAAACCAAACTGCCAAGAGATTTATTTATAATATACCACCTAATACTGAAGAGAACTCTGAAGATTGCTCAGTATTGCAACCATCGGTCCCATATCCAGAAGAAGATTTGTCATTTATTAAAGAAGAAGCAGGTAAATATTGCTTCATGTCACTCATATAATTTGAAAATGAAATTATTGAATGAAGTATGTGACAGTGTAACTTTTATAAAAGTCTGTTGGATAGGATCTTACAGTGAAGTCATCACACCGATCAGGTTACCGAGTCCGTAATCTGATCCTCTGCTCTGGGGCACAGTGGTGCATCTTCAGCTAGAGGAAGGAATGATGGAGCTGTGCCATGCAGTGTGTAATTTGCTGCTTGCGTTTGACACTTGAGCTGGGCATCCTCGCCAGCTGGTAGAAACTAGTACTCTTACATTTATATTTCATCTGTGGCCACTGTTAGGCACAAAATCAAGGAGTGATAACTGGTGGCTATTGCTGTTTCCTGTTTGCACAGGCAAAAGGGCCTTTAATTTCTTCCCTTACCCTAGCAAAAGTTTTTTGTGGTAATCTCCGTTGCCTGAGCGTCACCCAGAAACAGGAGTCAACCTCCCACTGCTGCTTATTGTCGGGCTATCTGGGAAGATACAAAATGGAGTAGTCCTGGCTAGTATAATAGAAACTCTTAAAGCAGATTTGTGAAACGGGTTGGAAAGAGATGCCACAATGATGTACAGGAGAGGGAGTATCTTTTTGTTGAGCTATTCTTTAAACAAATTCTGAAGCTGACTGAATTAATGGATTTTTTTTATGAAGGATCTATGGTTAATGTAAACAATAAAATAAGATTAAACATCTGTTTGTTAAACAAATGTGGTCACACAGAATTGTAAGCAGACCGTTCACAGTGTAATTGGGATATAAGGCAATGTAATTCAGTTCAGGTTTTTATTTTTTAAATATTTTTATTAAACTATATATTTGAAATAACTGCCATTTACCTGTATCACTTCTAGATGAACTAGCAGTTTTGAAAACTTACCCCAGTTTAGGGGTCAATTAAAAGTGGATTTGAGATGTAGCAGGAACAAAGTTCTTTAGTTGTGTCTGTTTCTAAAACATTTTTTAAATGTTTGCCCCGTTCAAACGTAAGGGACTGTGGATGTGTTCTGCTTCCCAGGTTCCAGGGATAGATTTGAAGGGGGGATGTGAAATCAGCACAAACACCTGTGGCTATAGAATATTGCCAGATACTGTATTCCAGTGACAACAGATTTGAAAGCAACCTACATTCTGTGAGGGTTTAGGAACCTCTGTTTGTTTTGATGGAAGGAAGTTTCTTCCTTAGTTTCTTCCTGTACCCCCTGAGTTGTTTAAAAACCAGGCTAAATCAAATCCTTTCAGTAATGGGAGGAGTGGGCTGTTTTTTCCTGGGCCTTCGCAGTGCCTTTACCGAAGAGCAGCAGGTGCCAGTTGGTGTGGCTGCTGGCTGCAGAGGTGTCAGTGAGGGGCAGCCCAGCAGTGGGCACATGGGGACTGCTGTGCTGGCCCTACTGGCATGTATGTCTGAGCACCAGAGTGACGTGACAATATGGAGTGACGCAGGCTGGAGCTGCAGATGTGAACATTTGTATTGGCTACCTGAACTTCAGTAAAAAGCCTTCAATGCTTTCCTACAGCCTTCTCGTGAAGAAAACCTGGTTGCTCGTGGCCTGGACTGGCATACACTCTGCTGGGTAAAACACTGACTGGATGGATGGGCACAGAGTGGTGCTGAATGGAGTCAAACCCAGCTGCCAAATGGTCGCAAGTGTACTTCCCCAGGACTCTGTATTTGGGCCACTTCTGTTTAACATCTTTCTCAGTGATCTGGACAAGGGAATTGAGGGCAACCTCAGCAAACTTGCAGATGATGGCAAGTTGGGCAGGAGTGTTGATCTGCTTGAGGATAGGGAGGCTCTGCAGAGGGATCTGGACAGGCTGGAGCAATGGGCCAAGGCCAGTTATATGAGGTTCAGCGAGGCCAAGTGCTGAGTCCTGTACTTGGGTCACAACAACCCCAGGCAATGCTACAGGCCTGGGGAAGAGTGGAGAGCGGCCTGGTGGAAAAGGACCTGGGGGTGTTGATTGACAGCCAGCTGAACATGAGCCAGCAGTGTGCCCAGGTGGCCAAGAAGGCCATCAGTGTCCTGGCTTGTATCAGAAATAGTGTGTCCACCAGGAGTAGGGAAGTGATAGTGCCCCTGTACAGGTCACTATCACAGTCACTGGTAAGGCCACACCCCCAATATTGGGTTCAGTTTTGGGTCACTGACTCCAAGAAAGACACCTTTTCGCTGAAGTAGGTCCAGAGAAGGGCAGTGAAGCTGGTGAAGAGTCTAGAGAGCAAGTCTTAGGAAGAGCAGCTGAGGTACATGGGATTGTTTAGCTCTCTCACACTTGGGCAGGAGCAGCCAGTATAAGTTATGTCCATATAGTTAGGAAGTAGTGTGGCACAAAGGGGCAGCTCTGGAGAAGCAGCTGTGCTCAAGAGCTAATATTAATTCTGTTCAATGCTTCAGGGGGTTTTCTTGTTTCTGGTCTTCATCTCTGATCTCAGTGGTCAGGTCTCGTTTAGCTTTGGAGTTCAGCCTGAGAGTGTGCACTTGTAAAGTGAACTTCCCAATCTCTTGCTGTCTAACCTTTCTTAGACTGCACAGATTTGGTTTTTTTCTGGCTGAATGAAAATAGAAGCTGTGTTTCAGAAACATGCCTGGTGCGTGCCAGCTGGTAACAAGCCCTGGGCCCACAGCACCAGGTTAGATCTAGCCTTCAGTAGAAAAAGCACCTCTGGATATGCCTGGTGAGGATGTGGAGTCCTCAGAACCCATGCAACAAACCAGCCTGTGCTGGGCTGCTGTACTTACTGATCCATACTCAGTTGAGGTGGTGTGTAAAAGGGCAGCAGAGAGTCTGGAGTAGGAGCTGAGCACCTGTGCATTAGTTGCACAGACATCCAAAAAAAAAAAAATGTGAAAAAAATGGAGCATGTGAATTCTAGTTCTGATTTTTAGGGAGTAGATTTTCTACCTCTTTTACTGTTGGAAATAGGACAGCGAGAATATGTCTACTAAATGATGACCCTAGCAACAGAACTAAATCCTGTGGACCTCCCTTAGAAATAATGGAGGCTATGGGCAGTGCAAGAATGAGCAAACAAGTTTAGTGTCCTTGTTCAGTGTTTTTGGACAGATGCACCAAGGTTTCCAGTGACTCTGTGTTAAAGAATTAAATTACAAAATATATCCATGCAACATCTTGATGAAAAGAGCCATATTAGAGGCTGGGGACACACTGAATTTGTGCTGTGGTGTCTGCCCAAACCCACTGAAAGTTCTGCTATTGAATGGGGGAAGTTTATTTCATTGAACTGTAAAATACTGTCAAATGAATGATCTCTGTAGTAGTTCTGGAACACCATAGAAGTGCTTATAAGGTCCCAAGTAAATAGGTTTTCTGGTGGTGTTAGAACTATTTTGGAAGCCATCTCTAATAGTTTTATAAAAAGACCTTTGTTTTCATGAAGTTCTTATGTGCATACATATACAAGAAAGGTGGGGAGGGATTTTTTACAAGGGCTTGTAGTGATAGGAGAAGGGGTAATGGGTCCAAACTGGAAGAGGGTAGATTGAGATTAGAATTTAGGAAGAAGTTCTTCACTGTGGATGTGGTGGGACTCTGGAACAGGTTGCCTAGAGAGGTTGTAGATGCTCCATCACTGAATATGTTCAAGACCAGGTTGGATGGAGCCTTGTGCATCTCCCACAGTCTAGTGGGAGGTGTCCTTGCCCCTGGCAGGGAACTTGGAACTAGATGATCTTTAAGTCCCATTCCAACCCAAACCATTCTATAATTGCTTGAAACAGGAAGAGATAATGGAAGTAAGGCCTGGTATAGCTTCCTTTCAACCATAGTCTGTGCTTCAGCATTCAGTGTTCTTTTTCCTCTACTGCTGCCTGGGTTTTTCTGCACTCTGAAGGTAGATTCCACTCTCAAGCAGTCTTCTTCCAATTGATCCCTCTATGCCCAAGAAAAGGTAGAAGAGGGAGAAGTGGAGAATTGGAGGAATGACAAGAATGAGTTGTAGAGTAACCTGCAGGTTATACGATAACTTTTCAGTTGTGGATTAAATATCTTGCAGAGATGAAAAACTACCAAAAATAATAGGTGCTGCATAAGAAAATCTATTTTTGAATAGGTATAAGACAACACCGAAAGAAAAAGAAAATAGTAAATTTTTATGATGAAAGCTACGGAGGGCACTGTCCCTTTGGTTGCTAAAGGGGAAAGAATGAGCTTTTACTGTTACTCTTTTGTCATGTGCTGGTGAGGATAACCAAGAGCAGCTGTGGTTATGAGGTGTCCAGTTACATGCAAAGTATGTTGCTGTGTCCTTGATTGTGGTTTTGGTTTGTCTGGTGGTTTTGTGAGGGGAAAGAAATACCATAGATACGGTCGAAGGGAAACCTATTTAAGGCCACTCCTCTCACTACAAGAATACACCCTAAAAGCCACTACCTTGAATTACATAGTAAGTGGGCTTTCCAGTTGAGTACTGCTAGATAAGTATTAGATAATCAACAGTAAAATCTTTCTGAACCATCTGCTACCCCTCATATCCTAGTAAAGCAAACACGTTAAACTGCCCCTCGATGAAGGTTGAGTTTCCTACAGGTGTCTGTAAAGGTATGTCAGCTTCTTCCTTTCACCCTGTGTTGCCAGTGAGTTTATATTTAATACCTTCCCCGTAAAAGTAGCACTTCAGTGAGCTTCAGAAAACTCCATGAAGTTGAGATAGATTTTAAATTGCATGTGCCATTTTACTTTGTTTACCTACTCTTGGGAGAAGGCTTCAAAACTTCTCTGTGTTAGCTGTATTAATGAAAATAGCTGTGTTTCTTCACACTGAATGTTACCACCTATCTTACTATTTTTACTTCTAGTTGATAATCTGCTAAAAAATGTCTTTACAGCCGTAGCTCATCCCACAATTAACCATTTACGATGGTGAGAATAGTGCAGTCAGTCAGCATCTCTTAGTCACTTTCCAGTTCATAAGAGCTCAGTGATTCTAATTCATCGTATTCCTAGTGTCTATTCATAGTTTT